ATGGATGCCAGGGTGAATGAAAGGTGTCATAACAGTACGCTCTGTGTGGTGCTTGCTTCTGCTTCCTTTCAGGTGTACTGACCTGGCGAGCCTTTAACCACATACTGCTGTCGCTTATGTGACTCACAGGTCTGTTAAAGTCATTCGACTGATCGGCCGAGATACTGTGGAAGAAATTGTGTATAGGAGAGCAGCCTCAAAACTGCAGCTCACCAACATGGTCATTGAAGGAGGCCATTTCACTCTAGGAGCCCAGAAACCTTCAGCTGAGGCTGACCTCCAGGTAGGTACGTTGTTCTTCTTAGGATTGTCATGATTTCTAGTCAGTCTCTGTGGATGAGAAGGTGAGTAGAAAGTAGCATTAGCCACTCAGTGTCCTCTGGCCTGAGTTGTACTTACCTTAATACCTGCTATGTGCATGGGACTGTAGGAGCCAAAAAGGAGCATAGTACGTAATGGCAGTAAAATACAGAATAAAGAGGATCAGTGCTGGATCATCAACTTGCATTTGAACACAGGAACATTCCATATAGTGAGCATTTTGAGGTGCTTACTGTGTGCTACTATGTATCACTTGAGATACCCCTTTCCATTTTCAGGAAATGACAGTAGAGTGATGAATATCCTTTTTTTATCCACATCTTAAGTAATTTGTCCAAAGTCATTCAGATTTAAAACCCAAAACATTCTAACCTTCAACCCCATGCCCTTAATTACTGTAATATACTGCTTCTCACAAAAGTGCAGGTAGTGCCTTAGTGACTAGGGCATAGCAAGTTCACAATAACAGGAGAGGCCAGGGACATGGGCAGTTGAAGGCAGGGTAGCAGTGCAGATGAATCCTTACCATAAATGACTGGCTTTCTTTGGGTTTTGGTAACACATGCAAAGTCAGTTGCCTTGGTTATATACATAGCAAGGTTAAATAGAAATCTATCCAGGAATGTTCAGGCTTCAATGACCTACATAAGGTTTTCACATGCTATTACTGCATGCTTTAAGGTTTCCAAGTTACAAAGTAGGTGATCTAGAGATAAGCAGCTTAGTCTAGAAGGGCAAGATGCAAATGAAGGTCCATGCACAATGCAAATCTAATACAGTTCAGAATTTCAGAGTTTGCTGGGCGTGGTGGCACATGCCTATAAACCCAAAACTCAGGAGGCAGAGGAAGGTGGAACTCCAGCCTGGTTTATATAGTGACTTCCAGGTCAGCCAGGGTTACATAGTGAGACCCTGTCCAAAAAAAAAAAAAAAGAGGGAAGGGAGGCTGGGAAGGCTGGGGAAATGGCCCAGCAGGCAAGGGTGCTTGCTACCAAGCCTGATACATACTGAGTTCTATACCAGGTACCCACATGATGGAGGGACCTGCCTCCTGCAAATTGTGCTCACCTGTGTGCTGTGGCACATGTGCATGCGCACGCACACACACACACACACACACACACACACACACACACACAAATAATAAGTTAAAAAAAAAAAACAGCAAGCTGGGCATGGTGGTGCATGCCTTTAATCTCAGCACTTTTGAGGCAGAGGCAGGCAGATCTCTGAGTTCAAGGCCAGCCTGGTCTACATAGTGAGTTCCAGGACAGCTGGGGCCACAGGGAGACCCTGCCTCAAAAAGACCAAAAACAAAAAAACCAAAACCAACAACAACAACAAAAACAGAATTTCAGAGGTGGCATTTGAGGAGGTGCTGAATTGGAAGCAGCCAATGAAAGCTAGGAAATGGTGTCTGAACTTTCTGGGCAGATCCCGTACTCGCAGGAAATGGATGAGGGGACCCTAGGGAAGGTGAATGGGAGGAAGTGGAGTAGAGTCACAGAGGAAGAGTAGAGCCCAGGAAGAGTCAGACCAAGAAATGGCCTTTGGTAAGTGACCAGGTCTTGATTGGTCTTTGCCACAGCAGTGGCCGTGGAGCACTGTGGTAGGAAAGCAGATTGCCAAGGACAGCAGTCAGACGATGCTGAGCCAAAGACATTTAGCAGTGTGAGAATTAGGAAAGCCATTGACAGAGTCCCGGACTTCACTTGTGGGTCCTTGGAAAGCCCATGACAAAGAGGTGGTGAGATTGGCTATAGCAAGTGTTGAGAGTTACTATTTTTCTTATAAAGAAAGAGGAAACTTTTCAGTTTTTTATTGTTAAAAAGAATTGACAAAGTCACCAGCTCTAATCATCATCTGTCACCTTTTTGGTTACCTATCCTCCATCCTTTTTGCATCGCCTGTGAGAGAAAGGTTAAGCTGGCTGTCCGTCACAGAAGGAACATGTGTGGTGTCTTAGCCGTTTAACAGGTCACCCATACCCTGACATTCATTTTCAGAACTTACTAATTAGACTTTTGTTTTCTTCATTCAAGTTAAGAGAGATACTCAAATTTGGCTTGGATAAGCTGCTGTCTTCTGAGGGGAGCACCATGGGTGAAATAGACCTGGAGTTCATCCTGGGAGAAACCAAAGATGGCCAGTGGGCCTCTGATGCATTGCCTGCAGCAGGAGGAGCAAGCAGAGAGCAGGAGGAAGGAAGTGAGTTGGGAACTGGGCAGAGCAACCGCCACGGTCACCCAGTGCCAGGGCAGGAGTGAGATGAGCCCCTAGAAATCCCACAGTCCTGCTTCTCTGGAAATTGTTTTCTACCAGCGTGCTGCCATCTTGTTAAGAAGTCTTCCCAGAATAACTAGAAATATATCTGACTATTTGCATCGCTAAACTCTGAACTAAAATCCTGGTGTTAATGCTTATGGTTGTGTCCACTTCAAGGATTAATTAACTTTCTGTATTTCCTCCCTTCGTTGCCAGCATCTTTGTGTGTCAGAGCTGACCCCTTAGGATGGGGCTTTGCACAGAGTGCCTCCCGTTCTGGACACAATGGCTTGCTTTTCTGTATTGTTTAGGTCATGGCATTTTCATACATACATGTATTACACTTTGTTTTCTTTCATTGCCCCTCTGTCCCATTGCCCTCCTTGGTGCCCCCTTCTCACTTCCAGCCACTTCCCTTTGGTGCCCAGGTTAGACTCCCCTTTGCTTCCCTCTCACATGCACTAGATGGCACCCTTTCTCTCTTCCCTGAAGATTTCTTCCTTTCCTCTCATGGTCCCCTTTCAAGTTTTGTAATCTACACACATATACAAACACATGCTCACATATGTATGTGAAGTTTTAAATGATTCTGCGTATAAGAAAACGTGGTATTTGGTTTCTGAATCTGGCTTCTTCCTTTCGACATATGATGCCAATTGCATTCATTTTCCTGAAGAGATCTTTATTTCATTTTTCTTTATGGCTAAAATTCTATTTTCTATGTATCACATTTCCTTTATCTACTCATACTGATGGACATCTAGGTTGGTTCCATTTCCTGGATATTATGAATAGTTCAGCTTTAAACATGAATATGTAAGTATAGCTGGGCCATGTGTTAGTTCTATTTTCAGGGTTTTTGAAGAACCACCATACTGATCTTCAGTAGTGACTATACAAGTTCACATTCCTACAAGTGATTAATATGGACTTCTCTTCCCCCACATCCTCATCAGCATTTGTTGTTGTTTGTTTTCTTGATAACAGCCATGCTGACTGGTAAAATGGATCCTCAAAGCAGTTTTAATTTCCATTTTACTCATGGCTAAGGATGTTGAACACTTGACCATTCGAACAACTGTCTAATTCAGTTCATTAAGCCCATTTATTGATTGGATAGTTTGGTTTTCTTGGTGGTTAATTTTTGCAGTTCTTTGTATATCCTAGATATTAACCCCTTTTCTGATATATAGTTGGAAAAGATTTTTCCCTCTGGTCTTTAGGCCATTTCATACTGGTGATTGTTTCCTTTGCTGTGCCAAAGCTTTTTTTAATTTTAATTTTAATTTTTTTAGTCTTTTTTTAAGACAGGATCACCCTGTAGCCTCAGCTGGCCTGGAACTCACTGTGTAGACCAGGCTGAGATCCACTTGCCTCTGCCTCCCAAGTACTAGGATTAAAGGTGCACACCACCATGCTTTGTGCCAAAACTTTTTGATATCATATAATCTCATGTGTTACTTCTTAGGACTCCCATGCTGTTGGAGTCCTGCCTGTGTCTGTGTTTTGAAGTGTTTTACCTGTGTTTTTCTCTGGCAGCTTCAGAGTTCTTACATTAAAGTCTCTGGTCCACTTTAAGTTGATTTTTGTACAAAGTATGTTTTTACACTTTATTAAAAATTAGGTACCTATAACTGTGTAGGTTTATTTCTGAGTCCTCTCTTGTATTCTAAGGGTCTAAGCCAGTACCATGATGTTTTTGTTACTATGAGTCTGTAATGTAATTTGAATTTGGGTATTTTGATACCGCTAATGTTCTTTCTGCCAAGGATTGCTTATGCTTCTATATAAATTATAGGATAGGTTTTTTTTCTAGTTTTGTGAAGAATTTCATTAGAATTTTGATGGAGATTGCATTGAATATGTAGATTACTTTTGGTAATGTAACCATTTTCACAATATTAATTCTTCCAGTCCATGACATGGGAGGTCTTTCCGACTTCTAGTGTTTTGTTAATTCTATTCTTTAGTGTCTTAAAGTTTGTCTTGCAAAGGACTTTGACCTTGGTTAGATTTGTTCCTAGGATTTTTCTTTTTTCTGTTTTTGTTCTTTTCTTTTTTATAAGCTATTGTGAATAGGAGTTTTCCCCTATTTCTTAATTTTGTTACTGGTTACTAAGAAAAACTACTGATTATTGTAACTTAACTTTGTATTCTACTTTGTGGAAATTTTATTAGGTTTAAGAGTTTTCTGGTGGAGTCTTTATGGTCTTTTAAGTATGGGATCATGTCTGCCTATATGAATAATTATATACTGTTTATCTTTCTCTGTCTTTCTGTCTCTCTGTCTCTCTGCCTCTCTCTGTCTCTGTCTCTCTGTCTCTCTGTCTCTCTCTCTCCCTTATTCTCTCTCTCTCTCTCTCCTTACTGTTCTAGCTAACTAAGACTTCAAGTGCCGTATTGCATAAGAATGGAGGGAGTGGGCATCCTTGTCTCATTCCAGATTTTAGAAGAAATGCTGTTTTCCCCCATTTACTTTAGCATTGGCTATAGGTCTGTTATAAGTCATGTTATGCTGAGGAACGTTCCTTGTAGACCTGGCTTTTTTGAAGGGATGTTGAATTTTGTTGAAGGCCTTTTCTCCATTAATTAACACAATTGCATGGTTTTTGTCTCTTAAGTCTGTTTATGTGTTGAATTACATTTATTTATTTGCAGCTGTTGAACCAGCCTTGCATCCCTGAAATGAAACCAACTTGGTCATGGTGAATCATCTGCTTAATGTGTTCATAAATTGGGGCTATGAAAATTTTATTGAAAAAATTCACATCTATATTTATCAGAAATGTTTGAGTTTCCTTTCTTTGTTGTGTCTTTATCTGATTGTGGAATCAGGATCATACTGTCTTCACAGAACGGGTTTGATAGTGTTCCTTCCCTTTCTATTTTATGGAACAATTTGAAAAGCATTGCTGCTAGCTTGTCTTTAAAGGTTTGGTAGAATTTGGCCATGAATTCATCTGGTCCTGGCTTTTCTTTGTTGGGAGACTTCCTATTTCTGATTTAATCTTGTTGATTGTTATGAATCTGTTTAAGTAGTTCATATGTTTTTAATTTTACTCAGTCATATGTTTTTAGGAGTTTATCCATGTCTTCTAGACTTTTCCAGATTTTTGGACTGCTAAGTTCCCAAACAGCCCCTGCTGGTTCTCTGTATTTCACCATTGTCTGTAGTAACCGTCCCCTTTTCAGCTCTAATTTTACTAATTTGGGTCTTCTAGTTAGTTTGGGTAGGGTTTTTTTCAGTCTTAATTATTTTTCAAAAAAAACCCCAGCTCTTTCTTTAATTCCATGTATTGTTCTTTTATAAAAGTTCCCATTTATTAGTTTTTACCTTAAACCTTTTTATTTCTTGTACTGCTTTGGGGTTTGGGCTGTTTTAGATTTAAACATTTTTTAAAATTTATTTTAATTTTCTATGTATGTATGTTTTGCCTCCATGTATATAAGTGCACCTGTGCCCTGCAAATCCCACAGAGGCCAGAAGAAGGTATTGGATACCCTGGAGCTGTAGTTACAGATGGTTGTTATCTACCATGTGGGTGCTAAGAACAAAACCCAGTTTCTCTACAAGAGCAGCCAGTGCTCTTAACTGTTGAGTCATCTCTCCAGCCTCTGCTCTTATCTTTCTAGGACCTTGAGATATGTTGTTGGTTATTTATTTGAGATCGCTCTGTTTTTTTAATGTTAGCACCCATAGCTATAAACTTTGTTCTTAAAACTGCCTTTGTTATCTCCCAAAGATTCTGGTAGTTTTTTCTTATTATCTTTGATTCTAAGAACTTTAAAATTTCCTCCCTGATTTCTTCAATTATTTTCACTGGTCATTCAAGAGGTATTCTTCAGTCTCTGTGTATTTATGTAGTTTATTTTTTTCTACCTATTGCTACCTAGTTTTATTGCACTATGATCTTATAAGATGAAAGAGCTCGTCTGGTTCTTTTGCATTTAGTAAGATTTGATTTGTGGCCTAGAATGTGATCTATTCTGGAGAAGAGTCTATGGGCTGCTGAAAAAGTAGCATATTCTGATTCTGTTGGATGGAATATTCTTTGTATATCTGTTAAGTTCATTTGATCCATGGTGTAGTTTAAATCGGAGGTTTCTTTGTCGCTTTTGAAATTGCATGGCCGATCTAGAGATGAGAATGGGTATTAAAGTCACTGTTCTTATTGTATCAGGTCCTATCTGACCATTTATATTCATTAGTGTTTGTTTTAGGAAATTGGGAACCCTGATGTTTAGCGTATATATTTACAATTGTTTGATATTTGTGGCAGATTATTCTTTTTGTTAATACATAGTAGCCTTCTTTTCTGATTAGTTTTAGTCGTCTTCATCAGCTCTGAAAATGGTTATACCAGCTTGTTTTCAGCCTCTGTTCCCTTGATAGATTGTTTCCCACACTTTGACTCTCAGTTTGTGGATATCTACCAGCTTGGTGTATTTCTTGAAGACAACAGTTGGCTTTGTTTTTTAAAATCTAGTCAGTCTGTGACTCTGTATTGATGAATTGAGGTCATTTGAATTTCAGGTTTTTACTGAGAGATGTTTACTAATTCCTGTAATTTTGTTTGCTGTTTTTCTGGTTGATTTTGTTACTATTTGTTCTTCATTGTCTCCCCTGTTAATGTCAGGGCTTTTTTGGTTCACTGTGTTAGACACGAGGGATTCCTTCCTAGTTCTCCTTTATTTAGCTAATCTCATGAAATGGATTCCTTCTGTGCTGTCATCATTGACACTGTCTTCCTTCCTCCCTTTTGTAATATTTCTTTTAAGTATCTTCTACAAGGCAGGGCCTAGTGGTGCATGCCTTTAACCCCAGGACTTGGGAGACAAAGGCAGGTGTATCTCTTTGAGTTCAAGGCCAGCCTGGTCTACATAGTTCCAGGTTAGCTGGATTCATTTAAAAAATGAATATACAATGGCAGTCCTGACTTGGTGGTCATGAGCTGCCTTAGTGTGTGCTTTTCTTAAAATGTTGTCTGTCTTTTTGTTGTTGTTGTCGTTGTATGTATGCGTGTGACTGTAGTGTGTGTGTGTGTGTGTAGTGTATGTGCATGTATACATTTGGATACATGTGTGGAGGCCTTATTCCTTTGAGGCGGGGTCCCTTCCTGAACCTGGAGCTCACAGTTTTCAGCTAGACTGGCAGCTAGTAAACCCCAGCAATTCTGTCTCTGCCCTCAGTAAGCACTGGGGTTTATAGGCATGCAAGGGATATAGCAATTGTGGTTGACAATTTTTTCCAGCCCATGTTTTCCTAGCTTTGAGAGTTGCTGATAGAACACCCGATATTATTCTGCCATTCCTGTTGTGTAGGTGTGTTGGTGTTTTCCCTTAGGCCTCTTGATACTGCTTCTCTGCTTTGCGTTTTCAAGATTTGAACTATTCTGTCTGGTAGAGATTGTCCGTTTGGGGTTCTGAAAGCTCCTTGTGTTTCAGTGTCTGTTTCTCTGGTTTTGAGGGCTGTTCTGCTAATGATTTCATTGAGTAGGCTCTCCATCAGTGTTTATGTCAGCTCTGCCTCTGTCCTGTGGATTCCGTGGTTTTGTCTGTTGATTGTATCCCAGAGTCCTTGGTGAGTGTGGCCATGATTTTTATTTTTATTTTTATTTTTATTATTATTATTGATGCTTGAATGTTGACCTTATCTTCTCTCCTTGAATATTTTTTCTTCTATTTGGTTGAGTCATTGATGATGTTTTAACCACTGTGCTTTTTATTTGACTCATAGTTTCTCACTTCCAATGTTTCTATTTATTTTTTTATTTTTTATTTTTATTTTTTTGGTCTTTTTGAGACAGGGTCTCCCTATAACCCCAGCTGACCTGGAACTCACTATGTAGACCAGGCTGGCCTTGAACTCACAGAGATCCACCTGCTTCTGCCTCTGCCTTTGTCTGATGAGTGCTGGTATTAAAGGCGTGCACCACCACACCTGGCGGTATTTTATTTTTTAAAAAATCTCTTTCCCTTATGCATTTTTTGTCCATTTTTTTTCATCTGACTTTTTACCTCTATTGCTGACTTCCTCATCCATTTTTCTAACCTTTTCTTCCATGTTGATGTCTTTCCTCTTCAGGTCTGGGACTGAATTCACCTGCTTGTTTGTAGCCTCTTGCAGGTCACTGATCATTTTCACCAGAACACTTTAAGTAGTCTTCGTCTGGCATTGCACTTGTCTTTAGTTCGGTAGTTGCATTGTGTTCTTCAGGGGGAGTCATGGTGTTTTGCTTGTTCATGTTTCTTGTGTGCTTATGTTCAGAGTTCTCAGGGCCCCACAGCATAGGTCACTATAGGTGGCTTCAGAGTTTGATCCACCCACTGGCCTCAGGCTCAGAGCTGTCAAGCTCCAGAATCCCTGTGCGTTGATGAGATCTGCTCTGGGCCACTGAGGGCAGGGCTCTCTCTCCCTGGGCACTTCCCAGGCAGAACCAGCCTTCTGCCCTCTCACCCTTCTGCTTGTCAGTGTCTGGCCCTCCTGCACTCCATGACTGTGTCTCAGGGCCTTCCTTCATTTGGGCTGTGCCAGGCCGAATTGAAGCTCCCCTACCTGTGTGTGTTCCTTGATCTCAGTCCCCTGAAGTGGCTGTTTTTATTAGATTCTCTGTCAAGATGGCTCCCTGGCTACTGCCTTCCAAGTCATATAATGACATAATGGGGTTTCACTCTGCCGCTGACGTGTCGCTAGAGGGATTACTGTCTCATCAAAGCCTATAGCTGGATTTGAGGATTAGGAGCACTGTACACTTGTCCTGAGAGTAGGCTGGCTGACCTTCTGCACCCCCTCTGCCCCAAGGTTCTGCCCCATTGAAGCTTGGTGGGTTTTTCTCTCTGCCTCACACATCTGGCTGTTTTTCCTGCTCTTTTCTGGTGTTCTTTTGTGGATTTCCGAAGCTTTTCTTCCATTTTTCTCTTTGGGGTAAAGTCTGTATCTTTTTTCCTTAAATTTTTAAAATTTATTTTATTAATTATTAAAAAATTATATACTTACAGAGGTCAGACAAGAGTGTTGGATCCCCTGGAACTGGAATTACAGATGGTTGTTAGCTGCTATGTGGGTGCTGGGAACTGAACCCTGGTCCTCTACAAGAGCAGCCAATGCTCTTAAGCTCTGAGCCATTGTCTTTCCAGCCTTGAGTCTATTTCTTCTTACTGTGACTCTTTCTTTTATGGCACAGAGGCAGCCTCTAGTCTGCCATCTTACCTAAAGCTGAATTGTTTACTTTTTAAATTGAACATGTACTCATCAACTATGCAGACTATGGCAGATGTTTTATAGTTTTTCCCATTCAGCTTTACAATATACTTGTATGTAGATGATTCTGTCTTTTTTTTTTTCTGTCTTTTTAATTTGGTCAACATTCTAAATTTTTGAGTTTTGGATTAGAAGTGATGTTTATTTGTTTGAGACAGAATCTTGTGCATCCCAGGCTGGCCTCAAGCTTGCTGTGAAACTAAAGATGGCTTTGAACTTCTGCTCCTTCTGCCTCTACGTCTCCAGTGATGGAACTGCAGGTTTGAATCAGCATGCCTGGTTTATGTGGTGCTGGGGATCAGATCCAGGGCTTTGTGCACGCAGTAGGCAAGCACTATGCCAACTGAGCAACATCCCCAGTCCATGAAGTGCTGTTGTGTGAAGGGTGTTCCCTAATGGCTCATGGTTATTGTCATGTGACTTTTCCTGTACTGGCAGCAATAGGACATCAGGGTAATTCTTGTTCTTGTTGGAGTCTTGCTAGGCTTCCTAGTTCAGGCTGCCTTCTCCCAGTGATGGAGTATATGTGTTGGCTTAGACTGAAAAGATGTGGTGTATTGGGGGTTGGTGATGTTCCTAGTACTGTGGTATGCAGAAATTCTCTCAGTCTCCCACCTCATGTTACCATGCATCTGTGAATCCAAAGTGCTTGGAGGGTTGAGAGGGTTTCTGTTCCCAAGGCTGGGCACCTGTGTTTTACTTCTGGCTCTTGTTAATCTGTTATTATTCCCTCCACCCACTCCACATTTTCCGGAGACTCACTGAACTTTTCCATTGGCCATTGCCTCATACATCTTTTTAAGAATCCTGTTACTGCCATTTAGAGGTTTCAGGTGAGGGGAGAAGAAATCGGTGCATGTGGTCATATTTTTAAGTTATATTTGATTACCTTAAATACCAAAGCTTACATCCATTTCTGTAGTCACTCAGATTAATTTCATCTTATTTTTCAGAACAAAATAAAATTGCAGTGTTTTCAGAAAGATCATTGTATTTCTAAGTCAATCTGACTTCCTAAAAACATTACATATTTTTTAACAGTCCAACTGCCAGAAAAAGAAATCCCCAGTTGGATTAACATTTGGACGCTGTCTTTGATGAATGGGGCTAGGCTCCCTGTGTGGTAGATGGTTCCATTGGCAGTATGCATGTGAGGGTCTAGACCCTCTCTTTGCTGAAGATTGAGGATATGTGATTTAAAATAGTGTCAGTGAATATGAAAGACTAGTCATTAAAACAGCCCCGGCGAAAAACACCACACAGGATTGCTTTATCTTGAATGCCAGGGTTTCAAAAAGCACTCTATGAAGCTATATATGTTGATCATATTTTGACACTTCTCAACTCTTTATTTTTTCCCCACTTGTTGATAGAGTGTCTCATTGAAACCCCCTGCTGCTTTAATTAGCAAATGCCAGTTAGAATTACAGCTGGTTAGGTTTTGGTACAAGTGTGAAGCAATTGATCTCTTGAGAACGAAAATGTTTTGCTTTCATACTCTCGAGGGAAAACATACTTATAGCTGGTTTCATAATGCTATGAAAATACATTATTTGGTAACATGCTATTAAGTACGCTTCACTTGCTATTAGTCTCTTGCCTGTCTGTGGCTGCTGGTCTCTTGATTTCTGATCTTGGCACTTCACCCACCCTCACTGAGCCTTTGTGTCCTTATCTGTAACATGGTTCTATACATGTCTGCTTTACCCTTTCAAAGAGTTACAAAAATCAAATGTAAAAATAGGTGTGAAAGTGCCCTCACAGGGGCTGGAGACGGGGCTCAGCAGTTAGGAGCACCTGCTGCTCTTCCAGAAGAACAGAGTTCAGTTCCTAGTATCACATCAGGCATCTCAAAACTGCCTGTGACTCTAGCTCCAGGGACTCTGATGCCCTCTTCTGGCCGCCACAGGCAGTGTACTCGTGTGAAAACACGCTCACACAAGCACATATACACAAAGTAAATAGAAAAATAAAACCTTTTTAAAAAAGTGTTCTCATAGCATGAGTGCTGCTCAAGATCGTCCTTGTCGTGACTGAAGCTGTCATATACTTGCTGTTTTATCTAGTCATCCACTGAAAAAAGCATGCAGGCCTTAGAGCAGAAGGCTTTATTATGTAGCAGTGAGAACTAAGGAGCTCCTTCACCTGTGTGAGCCTCAGTTTCTGTTTTCATAAGTGGGGTTTGCTAACCACAGTTAAGTGAGATCTGCAGCACTTGTTATAAATCCAAAGGATCTTTTCTGTGATCTTTCATTATCTCAGAAGATTTGCCATGTGTTCCTTTTAAGCTTGTAGAAAAGGGGAAAAGGTTTGAGTATTAAATCTGTGCTCATAATTAAAAAGTAGAGATTTATTAGGGAATCTTCAGGTTGGTGAGATTTGTGCTGAGGAACAGGGCTGGGATGAAGGAGTGGCCGAGCCTTAGCAGGGTAGAGGGATCCAGCAGACAGGGGTCGTCTAGATGGACCAACAGGGTTATTAGCCATGTGCTGTCCTATGGAAAGATAATACACAGGACTCCATGTAGAATGCAAAGATGCTTATGGCAGGAAATGATCACCAGCTGGTCTTTGCCCATTTAGAATGTGGGCCATTTTCTTGTTCACCTGAGTTACTGTTTTGAATATCAGTAATCTCTTTTTCTGCATCTAACATCTGTGTTTTATGTTTTTAGAAAACCATATGTACGTATTTGAAGGTAAAGATTATTCTAAAGAGCCTAGTAAGGAAGACAGGAAGTCATTTGAACAACTGGTGAATCTTCAGAAAACTCTTCTTGAGAAAACAAGTCAAGAGGGCCGGTCACTGAGGAATAAAGGCAGTGTAAGAACGATTACATTTCTATAAAGCCATAAGTTCTTCCAAACTGTTATCCCGAGAAAACAAAAAAATGGTGCTGTTAAGAAAAATGTGTTTATTGAATATAATAAATGCACTGAGCATTATTATAAAGCTATGTAAAATGTTGTTCTAAAAAGCATTAGGGGGTACCAGAGAGATGGCTCTGTAGTTGAGCACTTATTGCTCTTGCAGGAGACCCCAGTTTGGTTCCCAGCACCCATATGGGGGCTCACAACTTCCTGTAACTCCAGTTTCAGAAGCTCTGACAGTACTCTTCTGACATCCCTGGGCTCCTATCAGCACCTGGCACACATACAGACAATCAGGCACACACATAACATACACTAAAAAAATCTTTAGTAAACATTAAAGGACCAGCAAGATGGCTCAGGATGTAAAAACACTTGCCATGGAGGCCTGAAAATCTTGAGCTCAATCCCCCAAACCCATGGTAGAAGGAGAGAACTGACTCCCCAAAGTTGCCTCTCTCTTTCTCTCTCACTAGTTTTCTTTCCTCACTAATAATAAGTAAAATGAAAATTTATATAAAAAAATAAGGAATTGAGCATGGTGGCACATAGCTGTAATCCTAGTACTTGGAAGGTGAGGCAGGAGGATCAGTTCAAGACCACCTTTGCTCCATAGCAAGTTCAAAGCCAGCCTGGGTTATTTGAGACCCTGCCTACAAACAGACAAACATTAAGAAGGTTAGTATGGGCCAGGTGTAGCGACACATGCCTTTAATCCCAGCACAGAAGCAGAAGCAGAAGCAGGAGGATCTCTATGAGATCCAGATCAACCTGGTCTACTTAGTGAGTTCTAGGCCAGCTGGGGCTACAGGAAGACCCTGTCTAAAAAAATAAAATAAGGCAAATAATTGTATGATTTAATGCAAGGAAAAGCAGCACTTGCTCCTCAAAGCCACCCCTAAAGAGATCACTAATACATGAAAACGTTGTTTATGCCATTGGTAATTGTGACCCTGCGTCATTAAGAGAGGGTGACAGGCATAAACAATGCATGAATATTCACAGTGTTTGGCACTTAATATGTTCTCTCTAGTTGTTAACTATCATTAAGGTAATTATGATGCTGAAATAATCTGTTTTAAAAGGAATTATATAATACATTTGTAGAAAGATTTGCATTTAAAATTGATTAAACTAAAATGGAATCCTACAGGCAATGCTTTCAATCAAGAAAGAAAAGTTATATGGCAGTACCTCATTGCTGAAGAAATGCCGAGGAAGGCCTCTACCAGCCTTGGCAGTGCATTGGCTGAGTTTAGTGCCCAGTGGCCACTGTGTTTATGATATATGCTGTGTGAACAGTAACTCAAGGCATCTTGCTGTCAGTGCCCCCCCCCCACAGTGGAGATGCACTGTTTTGTGAAGTACTTAGCATGTTGTTGCTGTACAGAATGTTCTAGATGTTCTGAGGAGCAGGCAGTTCTGACCTTCCTGGCTCTGGGTCTTGACCTTCCTAAGGTTCTCATCCCAGGCCTGGCAGAAGGGCCCATCAAAAGGAAGCGGATCCTGAGCCCAGAAGAACTGGAGGACAGACGGAAGAGAAGACAAGAAGCAGTGGCCAAGAGGAAGAGACGAATGGAGGAGGAGAAGAAGGAGAAGAAAGAGGCCGAGCACAGGAAAAAGTATGTCTGCCTGGTCCCTGGCTGGGGCCACCATTGCCGAGAAGACTCTGTAGAGTGAGTCCACAGCTGAACGTGCCTTCAAAAATTCAGGAAAACCTTGCTTGCCCTGGTAGTTCTTAGTGGTGTCAGGATACATTTTATAAAATATTTATTGTTTTTATTTCAAGTGTATGAGTGTATTGCCTACATGTACGTGAGTGCACCTGTGTCGTGCAATGCCCACAGAGGTCAGAAGAGGGCGTCGGATCCCCTGGAATTAGAGTTATGAACAGTTGTTAGCCACCATATGGGTGCTGGGATTCGAACCCAGGTCCTCTGTAACCACTGAGCCATCTTTCCAGCCCCCAGAATACATTTTTGAAGAGCAAACTTACATTTAGTCTGCTTTAGGGAGAAGCCCTGAGTGCCAAGGCAATGAGGTATTCTATTGGAACAGGATTTCTCATTTATTTATTATTATTAACCAGTTAACATGTGTGAGCATGTGCCATGGAGCACATGTGGAAGTCAGGAGGTCTCGCCGGAGTCAGTTCTCTCTTCACCATGTGGGCTCCTGGGATCAAGCTCAAGTTGTCAGGCTTCTCAGCAAGCACCCTTACCAGCTAAGCCATCATGCCAGCCCTGAATCAGGATTTTTAAAGGTTTTGTTGTAGCCGTGTGACAAGAAGTCATTTATTTGAACAGTCCATTTTGGTTTATGTTTCTAAAAACGGGAGCATTTGGTGGCTGCTCATTACTGACGCTTAGTAGGAGGCAGCTAGGCTAATCAGGAAGACTTGTTTATTTACAAAGAAGTAGAAAGCATCAGTCAGGGTGAGCTGCTTATCAGTTTCCTTGTTGTCTATGAATGTTTCCAAGAAAACATTAATTTCCTTTTCTCTCTGGCCTGATGAAGGATGGCCTGGTGGGAGTCCAACAATTACCATTCCTTCTGCCTGCCCTCGGAGGACAGTGAGCCTGAGGACCTTGAGGATGGGGAAGATGAGTGTACGTCCGAACTGGATTATGAAGACCTAGACTCAACCTCCATCAACTATGTTAGTGGTGACGTCACCCACCCGCAGGCTGGGGCGGAAGATGCTCTCATTGTGCACTGTGTAGGTACGAAGAGTGGTCTAAGATGCCGTGGGAACCTCATATTTATGATGCCAGGAAATGAGGACGATGCGGCAGAAGTGTGGCCTAAGGGTAATGGAACCAGTGCAGTATGGGATGGTCACCAGGCATGGATTTCCACATTGAGACATGGATTTGGCCTTGATTCTTTACTGGGTTGAGTTACCCAACCTCCTTGAGCCTCAACCTCCTTGTCCAGTTGAATATTATCTGTTTTTATCCTTCTGCGTGAAGTGTTTAAGAGGGTGGAGTGAAGCAATATTTAGAAGATAAGTATATCCTGTGTGGAAAAGCAAAAACTCCAAGTGTTTTACTCTCATGACCTTCACGCTTTTCACTTCCTCGGCCTGGAACCCTGTTTCCCCAAATAACCACACTGAGTATTGTGCAGTCTGTGCTTCTCAGAATGCTCTTCCCTGATCCCTTTATATAAAAATCTCCATCCTTATTCTCTGTCTTCTTATATTTTCCTGTGTCCTGCACTTTATCACCTGACATGCTGACATATGTATTTGCTTATTTATTTTTATTTTATGTGTATGAGTGTTTTGCCTGGCTCTATGTAAGTGTACCCATGTCATGCAGTACCCACAGAAGTCAGAAGAGGGCATTGGATCCCTTGGAATGGAGTTACAGATGGGTGTTAGCAGCCATGTGGGTGCTGGAATCGAACCCAGGTCCTCTGCAAGAGCAGCCAATGCTCTTAAGTGCTGAACCATCTCTCTAGCCTCATGAATTTCTTTTATTTGACTGTCTCATTGCATTAAAAAATTAGTTTCATGGAGCAGGAACTTTATTTATTTATTTATTTATTTATTTATTTATTTATTTATTTATTTATTTATTTTGTTCACTGTTCTAAGCCTGGTGCTTAGAACAAAGTGTGACATGATAAGATACATGAGCCAATATGTGTAGAATAAATGAATGTAAATAGGTGTGACCAGCGACGTTAGTACTAGCTTTGAATTAAGTCCTGTAACTCTTCCCCTAACTCACCTACGTGTGTGTAGGAGTGTGTGCTGGGGTCTGACTCCAGTGCCCACTCCATTGTTTCCTCTATTCCACACTCTCTGCCCTTCCTCAGTCACCTCCAGCAGCTGTAGACACACCAGAGATTCCACTCATCCAGAATACTCTTTTGAGATTCCAATTTTGATGTTTCCTGTGAGAATGAAATAACCAAGTGTGTCTTCCAGAAAATCTAAACCTGTTTGGGAAGTCCAACTGATATTTCTAGGAGATTAGATAAGATTAGATACATTTCCTTTCCTGAAAAACCATTCTCCTGTGAGCCTATATTGTGTGCCTCTGGTTTTCTAAGCTGTAGCCTGGATGCCTCCTGTGGATAAAAATGCTCTCTTTTTGTCAGATGATTCTGGCCGCTGGGGCAGAGGTGGTTTATTCACAGCTCTGGAGGCACGATCAGCTGAGCCAAGAAAAATATACGAGCTGGCTGGGAAAATGAAAGGTGAGAGGGAAAGTGAAGGGGAGGGTCAGGGATGGAGGGAGATGGGAGAGGATGCTTAAAATGGTGTGTTGGGGGTTGACAGGCACTACAGGGGCAGGAAGAGCTGCTTACACCATTCTGCCATCGTTTGGTTCATTATGTAACTTTGAGGCGCAGACCCTTACCCTCTAGGCACTGTTTCCTCATCCATCATGTGTGGATAATACTTTTTCCACCTTCCTCGAGGAACTACAGTGAGGATAGTAAATGCAGGTATCTGGAAAACGTCAGTCGTTACACACATTTGTAAGTATTAAAATGAAGATTATATCGTTGTTTACCTAAATCACCCTATCTCTATAAGGGAGTATCAGAGACCTAGTGGAGAGAAACTGGACACACTGTCAAACTACTAACCACAGCTCAGGTTTGTTGCTGAGGGGAAGGAAGACGTCTTTTGAGGTCACCATCGCCAAGGATACTTCCTGAAGCCAGGAGTAAAGTTGTTTCAGGACAGGGTGTTTGCTGAACAGTATAACCTCCTGGCACCAAGAAAGGGAAGAGACACTTTCTATTACGTGCAGGGATCACATCATGGCAGGAGGAGTAAAATTATCCTTGTGGCTCTTTCCCGGGTAGCTGAGAGGTTAAAGGGCCTTGTCTAGCAAAAAAAGGCTTTCCAGGCTTCTCAGAGGTTTTTAACTAATTCTTGTGCCCGTTCTGTAGGGTGGAGAGGTATATAAGGACACAGCGAATACTCAGTAGAGACCCAGGTTGTTGACAGAAGGGTTTAGTGTGTTGAGACAGTCACTGCAGATCGACATACTGATCTGGCAGTTGGGAAATCAGACAACCAGAGAGAGATTGGAATGAGGTGTAGACAGAGATTTAAAGTCCTGGATTGTACTCATGAGGAAGAAAGTGATCACAAAGAACAGAGCCTGGAAAACATATTCACTTGGAGCCGAGGCAAGAAGAGGAAACAAGGGATTGTTAGAGAAATAAGGAACTTGAGAATGTAGTGTTTTAAAATAAAGGTTGCACAGCCCTTATCCAAAGTGCTTGGGACCACAAGTGTTTCAAATTTGAGATTTTTTGTTTTTAAATTGGAGACATTGCAGGATTGGGATCCAAGTCCAAACACAAAATTCATTTATGTTTCATGCTAATAAAAGTGAGATGGTCATTTTTTCCATGTTATTTTTAATGCACCTGTGACTTGATTGTGACCCATGACATGAGGTTGGTGGGTAGGTTTCCACTTGTGTCGTGAGGATTCAAGACTCAGGTTTTGGAGCAGTTTGAATTTTGCATTTTTGGATTAGAGATGTCCAGTTTTCACAAGGAAGGAGAGGATGTCAAGATGGCAAAGTGATCCATAGTGTCAGAGACTGAAGAAGAATGAGAATTGGAAACAAGCCAGTGGGTTCCTGCTGTATTGGTGGTCACATGACCTTGGACCATTTGGAAGAGTGCAAAAGTTCAAACCTGGCTGCACAGATTTACAGTATAATGGTCAATAGGAAGTAGAGCTGGAGTGAGCTGTCTTCTATTAAGAAAGATTTAAATAGGGCAAACAGAATAGATGAGGCTGCGCCAGAACCACCAGGGAAGGCTGTGGGGGTGGTGGACGCTTTATTGGGTCTGGAAAGATAGGTTGAATTCACATAGGTAGAGAGAAATTGCAGGAGGATTGCTACAAGAGTCTGACTCTTTTTATTGTCCCTAAAACATTTCTAACCCCTGACTACTGAAGGACCCAGGCAGGGTAGAGGTCTAGTCAAGGAGAAGAGGAGCATTACATTTCAAAAGGAAGCTTGGCCCATCCTAACAGTCCAGAAAGATGCCATTCTAAATAGGACTGCATCCAATGGTAATGATCATTTATTTGGGAAATCTGATTTGAAGAATGGTATAGCAGAGCTGCCAGTATGTTAGAATGACTGAAAGGTTAGGTTTGCAAGATATTTATCATGTTTGTTTGAAAAGAAAATTCTGGGTATATTTGCCCAGAAGCAGATTGGCCCATTTGTCCAGAGCATCAGCTTGATTTGCTTCCAATGATAGGAAAATGTACAAACAATACATGTAGCAGAATGCGGTATTTGAATGATTTAAGACAAACAGAAGACTTCTAAAGGAATTCCAGGCTCAGAGTGACTACTCACCCTTATGCCATAGGGTCCTCTGCCATTTGGAATCACTCTGCCTTGTCTACAGGGCACTGGGTTGGTACTGTTTGGGGAGCTGAACATTCAGGAGGGAAGCAGCTGGGTTCCTGACTAAGATGACAGGTCACAAGACTGGGGAAAGAAAAAAAAAAAAAGAAGGCAGTGGAAAACTCAGGAGGAACTAGAGGGTAAAAGCTAATAGAAGCAAGCTAGGGTGGTTCATGCCCATCATCCCAGCACTTGGGAAGCCAAGGCAGGAGGATTACTGCAAATTCAAGGCCAGCCTGGTCTACAGAGTGAGACTGTATCAAAAAACAAGCAAACAAAAACTTCATTGTACTTAGATAATGTATAAGGAGGATTCAGAATGGCCCTCCGTCAGTAATCCTCAGCGAATGTGATATCCTTACTGTTCTCTTTTTTAAACTCTAGACTTGAGTTTGGGAGATGTCCTTTTATTTCCTGTTGATGATAAAGAGTCAAGAGACAAGGGGCAAGATTTGGTAAGCAGAAAACCTGTATCATGTATCAGTACTAAAGTTTGGCTTATAAAGGCTTGTCTTGAACCCCCCCCCAGCCCCCAGCCTGTCTAGCAGCACAGTAGCTTGTGCCACAGACTGGACAGCTTTAGCCTTAGACGTGTACTGCTCACCATGCTGGAGACCATGTGACAGACATGAAGGCGTCAGTGGCTTTGGCTTCTTCAGGGCCCAGTCTTCTCAGTTTGTAGATGGCTACCTTCTCACTGTGTCCTCCAAGGTCTTTCCTCTGTGCATGCACGTCCCTGATGTCTTTGTGTCCTAGTTTCCGTGTGTGTGTGTGTGTGTGTGTGTGTGTGTGTGTGTGTGTGTGTGTTCGTTTGGGAGGGGCTGTTTGTGCACGTGATTGCAGATGCCTGCAGAGGACAGAGGCAACAGATTCCCCTCTGGAGCTGGAGTTACAGGCAATTGTAAGCCAGCTGACTTGGGTGCTGGGAACCGAGCTCAAGTCCTCTGGAGAGCAGCAAGTGCTCTTAACTGCTGAGGATCTCTTCAGGCTCTGGACTTTGGACTCATTATTATGTTATGTAGGATACTGCTGTTGAGGCAGAACATCCAAGGGAGGGAGCCAAGCCCAAGTGTTCTGTAGCGGTCTGTGCCTCCTCTGTGGTCACTTAGCTGACAGCCATGTCTGTTGTTTAATGACTGTTCTTTCTAGTTGGCCCTGGTTGTGGCACAGCACCGTGACCGCTCCAATGTCCTGTCTGGCATTAAAATGGTAGCCCTGGAGGAGGGCCTGAAGAAGATATTTTTAGCAGCAAAGAAAAAAAAAGGTAAGCGTCCATCCATCCTCAGGAGGAGATGAATTCTGTTTCTGGACACGTAATGTGACTTTTGAAGGGAGGTGAGAAATCCTTTTCTGTTTGTATGGCAAAAGCAAACCCAGAGCAAACTGGCATCACTTTGTGTCTGTGTAGCCCTTTGCTTTGGAAATCAGCCTTTGCCATCAGCCTTCTTGTGGACCACACCCATCTACTGGGCGTTTCTATCACAATCGTCAGATAAGAAGTGGTCCTCTGGTTTTACTTCAGTCCTCTACTTTCTTATCACCATAACTGACAGTTCTTTCCAGAGAATTTAATTTGTGTCCAAGCCTAGTGTGTCTCAATGTTTGTGGCATTACTTGAGTTGGGGAGAATTTCTGCTTGTTTTCAGTCTAATTCCACCATCACTCACTTCCTCTTTCCAATATATCTCCTTATTTCTAGAAGCAATGGATCCTTATGTTCACCAAAAAAAACTTATTTTTCCCTCTTATAATTCCTCCCCAGAATTTTTTTTGGTTTTCTTTTGTTTTATTCTTTTGAGATAGTGTCTTGATATGTAACCCTGGCTGGCTGGAACTCACTACATAGACCAGGCTGGCTTTGGATCCACCTGCCTCTGCTTCCCAAGTGCTGAGCTTAAAGGTGTGCACTACTACACCTGGCTTCCCCAGAATATTTTTGACATTATAATTGTGTGAGTGGGACAGTTTATAATTTTTTTGTGGGTGTATTTGGCACTGATAATCAAATTTTGATGAGTGAAAACATGTTCTTTTCTTTTTAATAGCAAGTGTTCATCTGCCACGCATCGGACACGCCACAAAGGGTTTTAACTGGTATGGAACTGAACGACTCATTCGAAAACATTTGGCTGCAAGAGGCATCCCAACTTATATGTATCCTTCTGTGGTCTTAATAGCATGTTCTTCAACAATTCAAGAGGGAATTGTGTTGTATTTAATCAAGGCCAACTCCTCCTTCATTCTTCCCCTCTTCACTGAGACATGACCAAGAAGCACTTTCTTGCTTGTGTAATCCTGAGTATACACCCAAGGAGATAGACATAGCCAAGCAGTTCTGGCTGTGCCTAGAAATAGATTAAAAGAGCTGTGCAGGATGGACCAGCAAGATGTTTCAGCTTGCTGCCAAACCACATGATCTGAGTCTAATCCCTGGGACCCCCCCCCCCAAGTGGAAGGAGAAGGCCATCTTCTGCAAGTTGCCCTCTGACCTCCACACGTGGCACATGTACCCATGTAAATAAATAAATAAATAAATAAATAAATAAATAAATAAATAAATAAATAGATGTAATAAAAAGCTTTCATTGAGAAAGATGCAAGCAGGGAGAGTTAATTGAGCAGTTCTCATTTGATAACATGCCTTTTCCCATCACTTCTCCAGAGACCCTTCAGGTCTATGGACCAAGGCCTCCTTCTAAGAACTTCATTCTATTCACTGAAATAAAGTTCAGTTAAACAACTGAACAAGTTAACTTAAACAAGTGAACTGTTTCATTATGGAACCTTTTTGATATAGTGAGTGTGTGCATGTGTGTGTGGCGGGGGGCGTGTTTACAACTAGTGCTGGAGATTGAATGCAGGGCTGTCATGGTAGGAAAGCACACTCCCACTGAGCTATACCTCTAGCCCCTTTCTGATGTACTCAGTTTATTCTGAACTTAGTCACAGTCTACTTTAGCTAGACTAATATTTTCTTCTTAAGACATCCTTGCTGTATGGGTTAGCATTTTTGAACTAAACTGAATGTGAAATCACTAGAAGCAGCAGAATTGACACCCCCCCCACCAAGTTCTATGATCATACAGAAACCTCATTTTTTTTGTTTAAATCCTTACTGAAATGAGTGTATTCAGTGGTGGTCTTTAAGGTATTTATGTCATTATAAAACCCTAGTAGAGAAGTCATGGTTTATGTATTTCCACAGTATCAAGAGTTTTCATATACCAGTTAACAGTGACAGTCAGGAGTTCTAACAGTGCTGGAAGTATTTGTGGTATGAAGAAAGGCATTAAGACAAACTACTAGAATGTTCGTTTCAATAATTTAACTAGAGAACTTCATATTTGGTAAAGTTGAGCTTGTGATGAGGCATGTCTTCCTTAACCATCCTTGCAGATACTACTTTCCTAGAAGCAAGGCTGCTATCCGCCATTCACAGTCCACATCTGCCTCCTCAGTGCAGCTGGTTCCTTGACAACTGGCCCAGCATCAGATTTAGTCAAGCAACCCATCAGGAAGATTCTTGACCTGAGAGGGACAGTCAGAGTATTCAGGAAGCAAGGCTACATCTTCTGCCCTGTTCTTTACTTTGAGACCTCTGGCATAGTCTGTTCTCTGAATTCTGATTTTCTTCCCCTGGAAATGTTACTATGATCTGGTACCTGTAATACAGGAATACACAGCTTATTTGAGAAAGCCCTTTGGCTTCATTTTGCGTAACTTTTTGTATAATAATAAATTTTCCATCACGAATCATTTCATTGCTTTCTTTCCTCTATATCTGGGTTTCTTTTCCTCCACCAGATTGATTTCTTTATGGAAGGAGGAGCTGTCTGGATTGAGGAGAGCTGAGTGGTGACAGGACAGGAGGGCTCTGGGGGGAGGAGTCACTTCAGCCACCTCTGCCTTCAAAGACAGGACTCGGGCAGAGGTGCAGGTGAGACTCCCCATCCACAGAAGAGGAACTCCTCCTGCCCTACTTTTTGCATTGCTCAGCACTGGGATATTGGAGAAAGCCCTACATACCTGCCCAGTGTGACTTCAGAGATCTCCTTCCTCTACCTGTACCCAGTTTAGCTTCAGTATGTGGCACAGAATGGCTGGTATGGGGAAAGAACCACTCAGGGAGTCCTGCAGGGAAGGCCATGGATCTGGTTTGTCTTGCTGTGTATGTGAAATCTTGGTCTTGAACAGCTACACTTAATCTGTGGAATCTGCTGCATTGAGACCCTCCATACCCTGAGTGCTGCAGCGACCCCTTCAGCAGCCCCAGGCCTGGAACCTTGATTCAAGAGCCCTGACTATGGAGGCTCAGAGCCAGGACAGTGGCCTGCTGAGGGAGGTGATGCCTCAGCACCTCAGTTTTACAGTTCTTTTGAACTCCCTTCCCCATACCTTTGTCCTTCAGTAGTTTAACATGGATGTCCAAAGCCTGTTAGACCCCAAATTCATTATTCCTTGTTTTTAAAATTTTTCTCCTAAAACTTCTTACAATAATTTTAAATGTCTCATGTTCATTTTTCCTTCTGCCAGCCCTTAATACATTGGTGAATTTTTTTCAGTTGATATAATATTTATACTTATCTATGAAGTACATTTTTATTTGATACATGTATACAATGTGAGTATAATCAGAGTAATTATCATTTCCATTTCTTCGGTCTTAAAGAGTAGATCTGATAGGCAACTGTAGTGTCGGCATCAATAGGAAGCCGGTAATGAGAATGCTGGTTCCTGTCAGGTGATGGTAGTCCACTCAGGCACTATTGAAGCTAGCCCTGCATTCAGCAAGGGCCTTTGGCACTGACACCACAGGAGGAGAGATGGGCCTGGAGTTCTTGTTCCTCAACCAATCAGAAGCTGCAAAGAAGTGGTGGCAGAAACAGAATCATTCCTTCTGTGGTGTTCACATCCAGTCCAACAGGGTGTTTGGGAAATCTGAATATTCCCCAAGAGAGGAAATACAAATGGTAACAAATATGTGAAGAAACGTTTGACATCATTAATCAAATTAGCAACAAGATACCATCCTATTCCAGTTAGAATGACTATTATAAAAAGGGAGGGATGGGGGACAATGAGAATACATTGTTGTGTATGAAATTTTGAAAGAATACATTTAAAAAATTCTGGTGAAGATGTGGAGAAAAAAGGAATGCTAATCAAATATTTGTGGGAATGCAAATTAGCTCAACCATTATGGAGGACAGAATATAGGTTCCTTATAAAACTCAAAGTAGATCCACCATATGATCCAGCTCTTCCACATCTGGGTATATATAGCAAAAGGAAATGAAATCAGTATACCATTATGCATGCCCATGTTTATTATAACAGTATTCACAATATCTAAGATATAAACTTAAACTAGATGCCCTTCAACAGGTGAATAAAGAATGTAATTATCTATTTACAATAGAGATCTCATATTACTCAGTCATAAAGCAGAATGAAATCCTATCATTTTCAGTAGAATGGATGGATCAAGGCCAACCTGGTCTGCCTAGCCAGTTCCAGGCCAGCTGGGGCTACAGGAAGACCCTGTGTCAAAAAGACGAAACAACAACAACAACAACAACAAAAAAAGTCACCAGACAGAATGAGCTGTCATTTTATACTCAAAGTTCTATACATGTAAGTTGAGTCTTTCCGATTAAAACAAAATCTAGAACAAAATTAAATAAAAAATTCCTCATTTCTTTTCCAGTCACACCCAAACTTAAGAGTCCATATTCAGTTTTCATTTCTTCACACACCTCTTTAATGCACACCTATTTTACCTTTGCCACTATCATGTCACCAAGAGAATCTATAGAAACAACAGCAGTGACTTCCAGGTCACTAAATCCAGAGAGCATTTTCCTGTCTCACCCTGACCTCTCCATAGAGTTCATTACTGCTGATGCTGTCTTACCTGTTGAAATGCTCTTGCTTTAGCTTCTGTGACAAGAAATAAATTCTTAACAAAATGCTCTCCAGGAGCTTGGCTTGTATCAGCATTACAAACTATTTTTTTCTCCAACATTTTTACATAGGGTATCAGTTTGCTGGAGCTCCCATAGCAAAATCCCACACAGTAGGTGGCTTAAAGAAACTAGGTGTTTTAAATAAGTCCAAGATCCAAGTATTGGCAAATTTGGTTTCTTCTGGGGCCTCTCTTCTCAGTCTGCAGATCACTTCACCTTGTTGCACAGCCATTCCTTTCTGCATGTTCCTGGTGTCCCACTGTCCAAATTTCATCTTAAAAAGACAACAGTCATTTTGGATTTGAAATTGGGAAAATACTTCAAGATAGAGGCATTGGCAAGAAGTTTGAGTAGAGTCACAATGCACAGGAAATAGCTCCAAATTTTGACAAACAGGATTACATATTAAAAAGCTGCACAGCAATGGAAACTGTCAGCAGAGCAAACAGATAGTTCCAGAATAGGAAAAACATCTTTGCCAGCTATACTCAAGATAGGAGATTCATAGCTGGAAGATCTAAAGAACTGTGAAGATTAAACACCTAAAACTCAAAACTTCCTATCAATAAGTAGACCAATGAACTATCAAAAAAAAAAAAAAACTAAATATTTTCAAAAGTGTTCAATATCCTTAGCTATCAGGGAATTGCAAGTTAAAATTGCTTTGAGGGGCTGGGGAAATAACTCAGTACAGTGTTTGCCTTGTAAACACAAGGTCCTAAGTTTAATCTCCAGAAGTTACTAAAAAGAAAAAAAGAAGGGCTGGAGGGATGTCTCAGTGGTTAAGAGCACTGACTGCTCTTGCAGAGGACCCAGGTTCAATTTCCAGCACCCACCTGGGGGCTAACAGCTGTCCATAATTCCAACTCCAGGGGAATCCAACACCCTCTTCTGACCTCCACGGGCATTGCATGACATGGGTGCACTTACACATATGCAGGCAATACATTCGTATACATAAAGTAAAAATAAAATGTTATTAAAAAGAAAGAAGAAGGAAAGCTGGGTGTGGCATAAACTTGTAACCCAAGCCCTGGGAAAGAACAGATAGATTTCTCTGGGGCTTGCTGACTAGCCAGTTCAACATAATCAACTCCAGGCTAATGAGAGACCCTATTCCCTCCCACACTGCCCCCCAATTAAGCCAAGATGGGCACCCCCTCTTGTTCTCTGACCTCCAAACACATGTCAACACACAAACCTGCTTTGAGATTCTATCCAACCCTAGTCAGAATGGCTATCCTCAAGGAACCAAGTGACAACAACTGCTAGGATGTGGGGAAGAGGAACAATTAGCCACAGTTGGTGTGGGTGTTCTGGATAGTGCTAGTTGTCAACTTGACAACACCTGGGTAGAGGGAGCCTCACTTGGGAAATTTCCTCCATTGGACTGGTCTGTAGTCATGTCTATGGGGTATTTTCTTGATTTTTGAGTGATATGGGAATGCCCAGCCCACTATGGGTGGTACCACCCCTGGACAGGTTGTTCTGTATTATATAAGAAAGCAGGCTTAGCATGGACCAGGGGAGCAAGCCAGTAAGCAGTGCTCCTCCATGGCCTGTGCTTCAGCTCCTGCCTTCAGGCTCCTGCTCTGAGTTCCTACCTTGGGCTCCCTCAGTGATGAACTGTGACCAGGGAGATGTAAGCTGAATAAACCCTTTCCTCCCCAAGCTGGTATTGATCAGAGTGTTTTGTCATAGCAATTGAAAGCAAACTAGAACAGAAATTGGTACCAGGATTGTGGGGTGTTGCTGTGACAAACATAACTGTGTGAGTTTTGGAAGAAATGTGGAAGAGCTTGGAAGTTTGGACTAGAAAAGCCATTGAATGCTATAAGCATAGCTTACTGGTCCATTCTAGTAGGAGCCTGAAAGAAAGACGTGCTGAGAGCAAAGTAGTTCCAGAGGTAACTAAAGAATTAAACCACAATTGGGATATTTTAGCAGAGTCTGGTTGCTGTCTGCCCACAGCCTAAGAGCTTACCTGAGGCTAAGGTGAAAAGCAATGAACTGATTTCTTTGGTGGAGAATATTTCAAGACAGCCTAATGTAGAAATGTTGGCATGGCTATTAATGGTGAATATTATGCAGATCTATATATTCCCAACATACAGTGGAACCAAATACACATTCCCATTCCAAAAGGGAGGAATAGAGACATAGTAAAGAAATATTGGACCAAAACAAGACTGAAAACCAGCAGGGCAAAAATCCAATAGCTCTGCAAACTAAGCAGAAAGAATTGCAAAATGTACGGTCTGGGTTGAAAAAGAGCTCTAGGAAGATTAATCTTGGAGCCAAGGTGTGTGCTGAAGGAGAAGATTCCTTTGATAAGGAGATTAAAGTGATTAAGGAGAGGCCTAGAGATTTGCACTTAAACAATGGAGAGTGCCTTCAGAAAAATACCACACCCAGATAAACCTCCAACTTGTGAAAGAAAAATGCAGCAAGGATTTTCTACTAGAAAACCACTGAAGAGAAAAAGCTTTGAAAGTGGATGAAGCAGGCTGGTGTCCATCCCAAACTTGCAGCCAAACTTGGTAGTGTCATTCATCTGGTGCTGGCTTTAGAGGCATGAAAGATGCAAGAGTGAAGGGGTCATCGGTTCTTTCTTCCTCTGTGGTTTCAGAGAGCCTCCAAGGCCAGGCAGCATGCACCAGGGGCCTCCATAAATAAGGCCCTGAGAGGTCAAGAGGCTCCAAAAGGCCATTGTATGGAGCTGTGAAGGTGAAATCTTGTTGGCAGTGGAGACTCCAAGAAGATGTGTTAGGGAAAGAGGAATTTACT